TCTCACTTTCTAAGGTTGGCCACAGTATTTTTAAACCATTCAGTGAATTTTTGAAATTTTTGATTTTTTTTTCGAAAATTGAATTTCTGAGAATTTCATTAATGGAGAATTGATTTTTATGATTTTCTGAAAATTTTTATGAATTTTCGAATTTTCGAATTTTTTATAGATTTTCTAAATTTTTTATGAATTTTTTATAAAAAATTTCGAATTTTTATGAATTTTTCTATTTTTCTGGAATTTTTTGAATTTCTGAAATAAAAATTTGATTTTTTATTTGAATTTTTATGAATTTTCTCAATTTTCTATTTTTTATTGAATTTTTTTATTATTTTTTTGAATTTTCCCGCCGGGAAAATGAACCGGTGTGACATTCTGAAATCCGACTCACTTGGGATTTATGAATTGGATTATTTATGGACGTGCTTGTAGTTAGATCTCGCCCGGAACTGATCACTCCTGGGATACTAACCGATAGGGAATGGCTAATAAGGGATTTAAATTCGCGCGACCAAAGAAACTCGATTGTAAATCAACTTTCGACCATGAAAATTGTCGAGGTGACATTTTGAGCCAATGCAGGCCAATCCAAGGATAGTTAGGGATCAATTCGCAGCTATCATACGAGTGAATCGTGGGTGATTCCGCTTGACCACAAGATGAGTTGACGAATGACCCAAACCTATACCAAATGATCGTGTCCGTCGGAACTAGTGATCGATCCTCGCGATTAAGTGACCACCGAGGTCATCACGATCCGGGTGAACTTGAACATGGCTTGATTCAGTATCGGCCACGGGTCGAATATACGAATTTCCTGAAAGCCACCTGTTAGTTCGAGATACGCTCAAGTTATGTTAATTGAATTTAGTCATTACTTAGAGATCAAGTTTGGGCATTGGAAATTATGAAGGTCATGACAGGATAATTTGACGACGTTGTTATTGGCTTAGTCAGCCTCAGATTTGTCCGGATTTTTCAGAAAATTCGAATTCTAGCGAGAAATGGAAAATGACCATTTTACCCCTGGGAATTTGTTAAGGCCAAGTATAATGGGAGAGGGGCATTTTGGTCATTTCACACCTACATTAGAGATAGAAATTTTTGGACAGTTTTGCCCTTGGAAATTTTGTGAAATTCCAATTTTTGCCCTTGGATATTTTTGGCAAGGATTAATCTTGGCCGTCGATCTTAGGATAAGATCAAATCGTGGCCGTTGATTTGGGATTAGAGAGGAGGGTAGGATGGTCATTTTAAGGGGGGTGAGACACCAATTATTGGCCTAAGACTATTTAATTCCATTTTTCTCTCTCTCACTCTCACGGCAACCTCTCTCTCTTCCTCACCCCTCTCTCGGCCAAGCCTTCCTCCCACCGTGAAGTGGCCAGCCGGCCATATCCATCGTCGCCGCTTCCCCGCCAAGCCGGATCGCCGCCGTTCGCCCGTGAAGCCGCGGCCACGCCACCACCGCCCCAACCCTCTCTTTCCCCTATTTTTGTTCTCACCGAATCACCCTCACCAGCCCATCTCAGCCCCAGCTCAGCCAAGAAAACCAACAGCCCATCGCCGCCACTCGTGGACGCCGGTGAGTCGCCGGTATCCCTTTTCGTGAGACACCGCTGCCACTGATGTTTGCCCTCAGTCCAGCCATCGTTGAGGCCTCAATTTCACATAGGAATCACAAGTAAGTGATATCCTAACCCTCGCCTAGGATAACGGGTATTTTCGTGTTAGTTCGGGGCCGTTTTAGCGAGTTTTAGGGGTTAATCATGGGACAATGGTTGGACTGATTTGGCTGAGTGCTTTGGGTGAAATTGTGATGATTTTTGAGGTGGATTGGAGGTTCAAAATGATTGGTTAGGTAATCGGAATGATTCCAAGTGATTATTGTGGTTTATTGCGCGAAAAACGGGCCTAAATGCGCCGTTATGGTGATTTTCTGTAGTGGCCGAGTTACTGTTTATGCTGTGGCCGAATTAGTGCATTTTGGCGATTAAAATATAGTGCGTGTTGGTTTGGGGGTTGTCGGTAGAAGTACGACACCCGGGAATGGTGAAATTTGGCCTAAAATGCAAAAGTTCGGGTTAATTGGGCACGTGCGAATTGAATTGGATTGGCTGGTTTTTGGTGATTGTTATGGCTTAAAATAGACATGAATGTGTTGAATTTCTGTGCGTATTAGTGGCTGTGATTGTGGGTCCAATGGCGACCTTGTGTGCTCAATAAATTGTGGAGTAAATGATTGAAATGTGGACCGTTATATGCACGCATGGGCTGAATTGATTTGACTGGCAATTGGCCATGATTGGGTGTTAATTGAGCATGTGAAATGCGTGAGGTTCGATGCGTGCATGGGCTGAATTTAATCGGCTGGTAATTGGCATGTTGATGTGTAAATCGAGCGAGTGAATGAATAAGAAAATGTGTGAAATGTTGTGCGTGTGGTCACGAAAATCCATGAGGCGGTACTGTAACGCGGGGAATTGTGCCGTCTTGAGGCGGTACTATGACGCGAGACGATGCCCGGTATTACCGGAAGACTGCCAACCTGAGACGTGTACTTCAACGCGGGTTGTGCCGTAGGTGGTAGATGTTGAGCCTGAGGCGGTACTGTTACGCGGGCAAGAGACATAGCCTGAGGCGGTACTATTACGCGGGCTAAGGCGTGTTGTGAAAATGAGACGGTTGTTTAGGCCGTAGGTGGAGGATGTTGAGCCTGAGGCGGTACTGTTACACGGGCAAGAGACATAGCCTGAGGCGGTACTATTACGCGGGCTAAGAAGTGTTGTGAATATGAGATGGTCGCAGTGGACTTGAGGAGTGTACTGTAACGCGGGTCACTGGCGAGTCGAGGGAAAATAGTGTGATGAAGAATGAACGAGTGTGTGGAATGTGGAATTGGAAATGCCATGTGTTCGACTTGTGTTTCGGGCATGAAATTAATATGGAACGTGCATGTGGTTGGAAATTGTATATTTGAGACTAACCTGCAGATTGCGCGTATCAAAAACCCAGGTAAGTGCAAATTGTGTGCCTGTTATGTGGTCGTTGAATGTGATTGTGTTTGGACTTATCTGGAGGTACGTGTTAGCCTAGGTGGGGTTTAGGGTGTGTACTTGCTGAGACGTGTTCTCATGGTTGTTTCAACCAAACCATTTTAGAACCCCGGCCTGAACTATGAATCTTCCTCCGCCACCACCTGAGCGTTTTGGACTAGCGATGTACACCGACCATTCAGTTGTAGAATACCCGATTGAGATCGAGGCTGATTCGGAGTCTGAAGAGGAGCAGGTGGCTCAAGGGGATTCAGACTCGGGTTCTGGGGAGTCGGACTCAGAGTGGACGCCATCTAGGGGGCGTAGGGGCTAATTTAGGGGTAGAGTGAAGGTTTTGAAGTGTCCCATTTTTGGAGTTAGGGTTTGCCCAAGCTGCTGATCCTTTTTGATATCAGTAGTGTACAGTTTAGAAGTTCGGTGTGCATATATATTATGGATTGTAAATGGTAGATATTGTATAAGTTTGAATCAGTAATGAATGTATATTCTCCCTTTTACCCTTAGTTAAATTTTGTCTGGGTGTTTGTGGCTTTCGCTAGTGCTTCATCTCTGATGTGTTAGTTTGGGTCGGCGGCGTTTCCTGGGACGTTGCACTAATTCGACCAAAGAGGGATGCCACGAGCTCGATGGGGTTCGGGGCGTGACAACCAGACCGGCCTAGTTCAACCCGGTTCGATTCGGCCGAACCGGGCCTCGCCGGCACCGGTGGCCGGTCGTCTTCTCCGATAGGCACGGTGCTAAAAAACGGCGCCGTTTGGCCCATTTTCTCTTAGGTATTTTATCAAACACCTAAAATGCATGACTTTTTTTAGGGTTTTCAAGACCGTGACTTCGAGCTCATCGCCGACGACCTTCCAGCGACTATTTCGCCATTTTAGTTGGTTCAATGTGAAGACTATGTCACCCCCTATCAAACTAACCTAATCACCTTGCCGTCGGACCACCGTCGGCCGGCGAAAAATCAATCTAAAAACCCTAACTTGCTAATTGTTTTTGGCAAGCTTTTCCAGAATACAAATCTTAATCCTAATCGCCCTAGCCGTCTATGTCGAGTCTAATGGCAAACAAAACATCAAACAAGGTTAAGAGAGGCTAACTTGAATAACCTAAGGTCACGGCGACGCTCCGGCGAAGGTTCCTCTAGACTCCGGCGAAGTGGTTTTCATGCATGGCCGACTCGGTTTGTGCGAGTTTGACACCCCAAATGCAATGAAACAACACAAATAATGATCAGAAACAAGTTTCAAACATTCAGAAGTCTAAAATCCAAAAGAAAATCACATGAACATCAAAGCTTATTTTTTGGAATTTTGGAAAAATCAGAACTACGAGCGATTTTTACCTGTTTCGTCAAGGGATCAAACGAAGTTTTCGCGCTAATCAATCGCCTTAGAGTTCTTCTTTGACACTTAGGCTTCTAGCAGGTGGTCTTCGCTTCGTCGGAAGAGCTCTAAACACGCCGGCCGAGGCTTGTTTTCAGACCTGGATGAACAGCTTCATCATAGGCTCACCAGATGTGGAAGATCACGATCAGAGCCGATTTGCCAGCACTTTCTCGCCGGAGAAGATGCCGATCACTCGGTCCTAAGATCCTCAACACGTCTCTAGCTCTCTTTCTCTCTCTTTTGTGTTCTCTGATTCGCTTTCTCTCTCTCTCTAGCATTTCGTCGAACACGTTCTCTATCCATTTTGTTCAGTTTTTCTTCACTTTTCTTGATCAATTTTCCCGCTCAAAAATCGTTACCACTAACTTAGAATCGGTTGTAACAATTCTCTGGCGCCAGCTGGAGATTCTCCAGCTGGCCGAATCAATTTACACGTGCTAAAATTTTTTTTTTTGGTCAGAATTAAAGGGTTTTCATTAATAACCAGAGACAGAGGAACCCTGTAACGGGGTCTCAAAACAAAGCAGTTCAGTGAGGGCCTGCGGTGGACTAGTCAACCAGTGTTGAGAGAGCTTTTTTTTCCTGTAAGCCTTTGCTACCCAGTCCGCCACTCTATTTCTATTTCTATTACAATATTGGAGCTTAATATTAGAGAAAGAAAGAAGCAGTTCACGAGCTTCGCAGATGAGGGTCCTCTGTTCCCATGGCAGTTTTTGCGAAGCTTCCACGTTGTTGACTAAGGTAAAGCAGTCTGACTCCAAAGTCATTTTATCACCCGCCCGAGACAAGAGGAAATGAAGGGTTTCTATCAAAGCTAAACACTCAGCTTGCTCGGCGGAGGAGACGAGGACATCCTTCGCGAAGCCGTCTGTCAAGATCCCAGACGAGTTGCGGCACACACAGGCGATGGATCCTTCTAATGAACCAGGTTGGTAAGTAGCATCTATATTTACTTTGATTTCTCCTCTTTGTGGAGGGATCCAGGCTTTGTTTTCATCACAAAATCTCGGCTTCAATTTTCCTGTTTGTGTTGTTCCATTTGCTGAAGTTCCTGAGCATTTGTTGTCCTCTCTCTATCAACGCTTCTGGGTCCGGGAGATGATTTCTGAATACCAGGCCGTTCCTTGCTTTCCATATTTCCCAGAGAATAATCAAGACTAGCTCGAATTGAGGTGAGTCTTTATTGTTTCTGGGTAAGAATTTTAGCATCCAGTCATCTATTCTGGAAATCTGATATTTGGAATTCTGTATGTTCAGAATAGGCGCTTCTCAGACTTCCCTTGTCCATTTGCAGAGAAGAAATAGATGTTCCAGCGTCTCTGCATGAGTTTCGCAGTATGGGCAAGTCGGATCAGGTACCATCTTCCTTCTGTACAGGTTATCCTTCGTCGGGAGTGCATTTTGACACACACTCCAGATGAAATTTCTGATTTTGTGTGGAGTTTTCATTTTCCAAATTCTGTTCCAGAGCTTAGTTGGGGGTTGATAGGAGGAGGATGCGTTCTGTGTTACCCTGTTTTCAATCTTTCGTATGTTGTTGTAGCAGCTCTTAACAGAGTACTCCCCTTCCCTCGTGCCAGTCCAGATCAGCTTATCTTCGTTCATCTGCGGTCTAATTTGTACCGTGAGAATCTCTCGCACTACCTTTTCATCAAATACCCTTCGCAGGACTGGTTCCTTCCATGTGTGGTCTTCCTGATTTATCAGATCAGCGACCAATCTTGGATCCCCTACATTCGCCGGTCCCCCTATCCTTCCCCGTCTTAGCCACTTATCCTCCCTGATGTTGATGTTCTGTCCATTCCCAACCGACCACAATACCGAATCTTCAATTGATGTTCTTCCCATAAGTATGCTCTGCCATCCCCACGATGGTCTGGAGCCCTTCTCTGCCTTCCAGAAACATTTAGTTGGGTAGTAGATACCTTTCAGCACCTGACTACATAGAGTTTTATGGTTCTGTGCTAGCATCCAAGCCTGTTTTCCCAACATTGCCTTGTTAAATGATATTAAATCCCTAAACCCAAGGCCTCCCCTGTCTTTTCTCTGTTTTAGGATTTCGGCTTTTCTCCACTGAACTCCTTTTGTTGCGGTTTGATTCTTCCACCAGAAGGTTATTATTTTTTGTTCGATTGCCCGACATACTGAAACTGGGATCTTGAAGATTGACATGGCATATTGTGGTAATGCTTGGACAGCAGTTTTTATCAGGATCTCTTTCCCCGCTTTAGACATGGTATTTTCTTTCCACCCTTCGAGCTTCATATTTACCCTTGCCAGGATCCAAGCAAACATTTGCTTTTTAGAAGCTCTCCAATCAGAGGGGATTCCCAAGTACTTTCCTGTTTTTTCAATCTCCGGGACCCTTAGTTCTCTAGCCATGTTCCTTCTTAGATCACTAGGGCAGTCCTTGCTGAAGAATATTCCCGACTTGTTCAAATTGACTGCTTGTCCCAATGCAAAGCAGTACTGGTTTATGATGCTCGCTAGATTCTGGCATTCTAGTTTCTTCCCATCTAGGAAGAATATTGAATCATCTGCAAAGAGTAGGTGAGAGAGTACAGGGCAGTTTCTATTCAGCTGTATCCCTTTTAAAGTGCCGTCTTACATGGCTTTTTTCATCATCATGGACAGGAAGTTTGCTACCAGGATGAAAAGGTATGGGGATAAGGGGTCACCTTGCCTTATTCCTCTTGTTGGTTGGAAGTAGGGCAAGGGTTCCCCATTAAGTTTAACACTCAGTGAGGTTGTTGTAACGCATTGCATTATCAGATTTACCCATCTTTCATTGAACCCCATTGTAATCATACCAGCCTTTAAGAAGTCCCATTCGATCCGATCGTAAGCCTTTTGCATGTCTAACTTTAAGACCGCCTGAAATTTTCGTTTGCGCTTCCGGACCCTTATTTGGTGCAAGACTTCCTGGACAACAAGAATATTATCCTGAATTTGCCGTCCTCCTACAAAGGCACTCTGTTCAACTTCTATCAACTCTGGGAGCCATGGTTTCAGTCTATTAGCTAGTACTTTCGAAATGATCTTATATGCGAAATTGCACAAGCTTATGGGTCTAAACTCTTCTAGCTTCTCTGGGTTTTTCACTTTTGGCACCAAGGAAATGAGTGTTCTATTCAACTGAGGATCAAGCACGCCAGTGAGAAAGAAGTTCCTGACCTCTGATACTACTTCCTGCTTTATATCTTCCCAGTAATGTTGGAAGAATTGTCCATTCAAACCATCCGAACCTGGGGCCCTCGATGAACTAAGCTGGAAGGTAGCTTGCTTGACTTCCTCTAGTGTAACTTCCTCGAGCAGCCTGATATTTGTTTCCTCCTTAACTCTACATGAGCAATATTGAAGTAGTGGGGTGAATTGTCTTTGACCAGCTGAGGTATACAGATCCCTAAAGAAGTCATAGGACATCGTCTTTATTTGCTCTTGGTCACGGGTCCAGTTCCCTGTATTATCCTTCAGCATTGAAATTTTGTTTCTGTGTCTCCTTTGTATAGTTGAAGCGTGAAAGAACTTGGTGTTTTGGTCTCCCCACTTTAGCCAATTGATCCTCGAGCGCATTGCCCAATGCATTTCCTCCTGACTCCATAGCCTTTCAACCTCATTCCTCAACTTTTGCAGTTGTTCTTTTTCCTGTCCTGCAGTTGGCTGGTTTGTGATGGACTGTATTTGTTGCATTAGGATCTTTATTTTCCCCTGCCCATTGGTAAACTTCCCCTTGCTCCACCTTTGTAGGGCAACAGCAGCGTTACTCATCCTTATCCCGAGGCCCTCGTTTACTGTCGCTGAAGAATACCATGCCCTATTGATTACCTCTCTGCATTCGTCGTCCTCTAACCAGTATGCTTCAAAGCTAAAACTCTTCTTAGTTCTCTTTCGGGCTAGATGGATAGTTACTAGGATCGGGCAGTGATCCGAACCAACAGCCGGTAATGCGTGCACTTCTGCCTCGGGGAACTGTAATCTCCATCTCATGGTGCTAACTGCTCTATCTAGTCTTTCCTTCACCAGCTCATCTCCTTCACGATTATTAGACTAGGTATATGCACAACCCTTGCTTTCTAGGTCCATTAGTTCACAGCTGTGTATAAACTCCTTAAAAGTATGGAGTCTGTAGTGCTTGGCCAATCGTTTGCCCACCTTCTCCCAATGGTACATTATTTCGTTGAAGTCCCCCAAGCAAACCCAATGCTGCTGGTTGCTCTGGCTAATTTTATAGATTTCATCCTACGTCTTGGTTCTTTCTTGAAAAGTTGATGGTGCATGTACAAATGTAACTCTCATCTTCGTTTTATAGACCTTCTCTTCACATTCGATATCTATTACTTCATCTGAAGCGTATAAGATTGATAGTACCGCATGAGCATTCCACAAAATTGCTAAGCCACCCCTTGTTCCCCTTGGGTTGACAACAAAGCATTCGTCAAACTTCAACATCCTCTGTACCCCATGGATCCTTTCTTCTCGATTTTTTGTTTCCATAGGAAAAAGTAGTTCAGGCCTTTCCTGAGCCACTAGGGCTCTCAGATACTGGACCATGCCCAACCGCTAACAGTTCCAGCTTATGATTTTCAAAATGGCTCCGGTGGCTTATTAGGGCTAGCCACCACAGCCCATTTTCCAGTACCTTCCACTTCACGTATTGGTGTTTCCAGCAGTTGAGCTTCGTCTAATAGTAACAGTTTATCCCCTTGAGAGTCATATGGGCTGAACCTTCTGGTTTTCTTCCGCACAGGAGTTTTCTTGCCACTTAGCTTCTTTTTGTTGGAGCAAGCTTGTGCCATGATGGAGTTCAGTTCCTTGGGAAGTCCTTGGTCACGAATCAAGAACTCGGGAAAGTTAACCTGTTGCTCACTTTGATCTTCTGAATTGCTCCTTCTAGAGAGTTTAGTTTGTGCGTTATCCTCCTCTCTTTGAGAAGTTTGCTGGATGTGGGTCGAGCTGCTCTCTCCATATATAACTATTTGTCCAGAGTGGGTTGGTGTTTCCGGGATTCTTTCCTCTTCCATCGGTTGTGCTAAGTCTTTGCTGTGAAATAACTTCCGAAACGGACTATAGTTGCTTACTTCAGCCTTCAGCCAAGGGCCGAAAAGTCTGTCTTCCTCTATGTTCACATCCTCGACACTTAATGGCAGCTCCTCACAGTCTGAAGCATAATGTCCTATTTTTCCACAAGAGAAACAAAAATAAGGGAGCCTCTCATATTTAAAATCGAGCCTAATTTTCTTTCCTTCATTATCAGCGAGCATGCCTGACTGTAGAGGTAGGTTAAGATCCAATGTCACTCGCACTCTTCCATAAGACACCATTCCTCTTGTTTCAATTTTAACTTCTTGTACTTGGCCTATATTACCAGCAACCTCACGAACAACTTCCACTGAAAGCCACTCAAAAGGGAGCCCCAGAATATGTACCCAGAAGTCACATGATTCGAATCTATAGCTTAAAGCAGAGGTGTTTGGTTCCCATGGTTTCAATATCAAGAGATTGTTCATGAAAGACCAAGGACCAAGGTCATCACTTTATTCCTCACAGCTAGGGAATCAAAGGTTATAGCAAAAATACCCTGCTCTAAAGGTGTGAATACTGCACTTTCCACTCTCCGCGCCCTCCTCATTGTGTTTTGGAGAGCTTGAAAGTTAATTTTTGGATTTTTTAGTAGTTTCCCTATCAGCGTCAGTCTACCATCCTTACCTTTTGCTGCTGCCAGAACACCTTCCACATTCTTAGTAACTTTGTCTGACCACAATCTTCCTAATCGTTTGCAGAGCAGGGCAAGCCTTTGGTTTTCGTCATCATCCAGCTCCATTGCAGTGTACAAAACCCGCCACAGCTATGAAGCCCCGAACTGGACGAGACTAGGGTCTCCCGCCTTCACCAAGGAGTTCCAGCTTCAGCAGAGTTCTTAGGGATGGATTTGCTTGTTCGGATCTTTATGAGTAAACAAGATGAGGAATAGTGGGTGGGTATATGGATTTCGACTCATTGGGTTGCCGAGAATCATTTCTTGACTCAAAGTGAAAGAGCCAGAAGAGGGAAGTGTGAGAGGAACATTTAGGGATTACCTTGACTAAATTTGCTTCGAGGGAAGAAGGAAGCAATCACATGCGAGATGAGCTGGGGGTTATGCAGTTAGGGTTTCCTTTTTTTATGCTACCCCGATGGGTAGAGGGAAACTCTTCCGAGAGAAGAGAGCGTCTTTGGGTTTGAAGATATTTTTTTTGGGTTTATTGTGCAATGGGCGAATCGAGCAAAAGGGATGACTGACCTGGGCTGGGTCTGGTCGACTCGACCGACCCGGTAAGTCCAGTTTTGACTAAAAATTCAAATTAAGCCCGATTTCGATCGAATTTTCAAAATTAAATCCCAAAATTGAATTCCTCATAACATTCTAAACCCAAATATGTGAGTTTCCCCAATTTTTGACAAAATCATGTCCTAGATTTTTAACTTTTTGTACTTGTGTTATTGGGTCTTTGTTCAATTCGATGCCTTAATGACCTGATTAGGCAAAATTAGTGCCAAAATTGAATTACCCACATCTGATTAACCCTAGAAATGATGGTCTCATGGTTCGACAATTTCGAATTGGACACGATTCCCAATTTGGGCTCAAAATTCCTAATTTTCAATTGAATTTTGGGGTTTTCTGATTTCTTTGTTGAATTGTTCAATTGGACCAACCATTATGTAATTCAAGGTTCCAAAATCATTTGTTGTGAAGATACCATGACTTAAAAATGACTAGAAAAGATCTAATTGCATTTTTTGTTCAATTCGGGTTTGATTTTGCCCAATTTTGGGAAAAACACATGCCCGATTGAGATTTTTCAAAATTGATGATGTATTAGTGAAATTGGATTTAAAAGAAGACTAAGGACTATTTTTATGGAATTTTATGATTCCATTTACTATTTTTCTTGATTTTCTCACTCATTTGGACTAAAAGAAATTAAAGAAAAATTCAGGAAAATGCTAAAAAAATCATTTTTGTTTTAGAAATATGTTTCTAGGCTTGACAAAGATTCCTAATCCTAATTTTGAGATTTTTGAAAACATGAAAAAAAATGAGCTAAAAATCAGTTGTCAACGGCTGCCCCCTCTTTGAGATTAAGCTCGTTAGAGGTTAATTTCAAAGACAAGGTGACACCTGAATTTTTAGTTGACTCAATGAACAAGACAAAATGAAAATTTCACAATAACTGATTAGGGATCCTGCTTTTGAAATTCGTGATCTAATCCAAAGGTTTTCTTTTCAGAACACATTTTGAGAGGTTCTTAATGATTGAGGGAGAGAATTTTACCTATTTGTGAACGTCTCTTTGTTGCTTATCCAAGAGTATGAATTGATGGCGGTAATGATTATGATGATTATTCTAATTTCGTGGTTTAAGGACGAACCCACGAACCATGAACACCTAAGGCTCATCGCCTGAGGATTTAGAAATTTGCCTAGTGGTTCCTCACCAGTAAGACTTTAAAATTTGCTTAGTGACTTCTCGTCAGTAGGACTTTGGAAATTGCCTAGTGGTTCCTCACCAGTAGGACTTGAGAAATTTGCCTAGTGGTTCCTCACTAGTAGGTCTTTGGAAATTTGCCTTGTAGCTTCTCGCCAGTAGGACTTTGGAAAATTTGCCTAGTGACTCATCGCTAGTAGGACTTTGGAAATTTGCCTAGTGGCTCCTCGCCAATAGGACTTTGGAAATTTGCCTAGTGACTCATCGCCAGTAGGACTTTGAAAATTGCCTAGTGACTCCTCGTCAGTAGGACTTTGGGAATTTGCCTAGTGACTCTTCGCCAGTAGAACTTTGGGAATTTGCCTAGAGGCACCTCGCCAATAGGACTTTAGAAATGGCCTAATGACTCCTCGGCAGTAGGACTTTGGAAATTGCTTAGTGACTCCTTGTGAGTAGGACTTTGGGAATTTGCCTAGTGGCTCCTCACCAGTAGGGCTTTGGAAATTTGCCTAGTGGCTCCTGCCTAGTGGCTCCTCGCTAGTAGGGCTTTGGAAATTGCCTAGTGGCTCGTCGCCAGTAGGACTTTGGAAATTTGCCTTGTGGCTCCTCGCTAGTAGGACTTTGAAAATTGCCTAGTGACTCCTCGCCAGCAGGATTTGAGAAGGCTTCAAACAATAAGTGCCTTGACCATGAGTTATGTGATTTTAAGGTTTCACTAACCTTTGTATGGTTTTTAGTTGACTAAAAACTATTTTGAAAAGTGGTTTTGAAAATAATCAAAAATTGTTTGAAGTGTGGTTTTTTTTTTTTTTTGCTTACCACAAATTGTTTGAAAACTTTGTTTTAAGTTGACCAAAAACTTTTGAAATATGATCTGGAAACATGCATTCTTTGCATTAATGCATTTCAGACAATCAGATTTCCTTTTCAAGGAATTATTTGAACAAAGTGCTTGCAATCTTTCAAGAAATGCTTGAAATGATCATTTGGAAAACCTTCATTAGAAAGGATTTGTCTCAATCCATGAACTTGGTCTTTTCTTTATCTGATTGAAATGGGAATTGTCTGATATCCCTCAATTTTATCTCTCTTAACCATTCCTCAGGTGTTCGGAGATGTTCGCAATGTATACAATCCAATTGATCCTATAAGGTCTTTCAAAAGGTTGTAATGTTGGCTTGGTCAATGGCTATTCAAAGAATAGGCATTTTGAGGGCAAGAAAAAGGATTTCATCATATTTGACTTCGGGTCTACAAGTTAAGAACCTCTAAGACAAGACAAGATATTATTGCATACACTCCTTGAAGCGATGACTTCTTGTCATAAAGTCACATTTTTACTTCTCAACATCCCAATCTGAAGAGTCTTTGGGGAGGGGTTATATTATTGGCATTGGGTAGGCTCAAAAGGCTCATTTATTTGAATTCGGGCTTTTTATGAAATTGGTGATCTTCTTGGCATCACCACCCTTTTTCTTTTGTCTACTAGGGATCTTTCTTTTTATGAACATCATAGTCCTTTAAATGTTTATCAGGATTTCCTTTTTCGCTTAGACCCACTTATTGTGATTTATGATCTCTCACAATCTTGGCTCTGCTTTATCATGACTTTTTTTGTAATTTCGAGCTTTCTTTTGAACCCTCTTTTTCTTTCTCATTTTTCTTGGGCATTTGGCCTTACTTTTACTAGGCACACTGCTTTTTCATGCCCTTGATTCTTTTGCATCCTCTAATATTTTGGCTTTTGACCTGTTTGAGTTCTAAGGACTCTATGTCATGCTTTTTTTGTTTCTTGTCTATTCAAGGTGGATCATATGCTCATGCTCTAGTGTGAAGAGATGACCACTAATTTAGGGTTCTGAAATGAATATTCAGGCTCAATTGGGATTTGCCAAAGGTAATATGTTTGGGTATAAGAAATGAAGTGCTCTTCTTCCTCTTGGGATGTCTTGAACTTCCATATGACTTCATCTGAAGTTATCACAGAAAGATTGATGCAAGAGTATGCAATAGAATCTTTTTTGATCCTATTCTCCATAGCTGTCAACCACAAACCTCCCGATTTGCCCCAATGTGGGGTGGTTCTTAACAGGGTTGTTTTGGAAAAATTTCTCCACTGTTTCGGCTCAAATTTGGTTTGCAAGGGATAAGCATGTGTTTGGGATAGTGTAATGACTGCCTTTCATCACTTCAATCCATGTAATTATTGCGAACATCCCCTATTTCCTTTGGATGAGTTTTTTTCTCACTCACTCCTTCACTTTGACTTTGAGTGTATAGGGGACGTGTTTGGATATATCTTACCTTTCATCATTTGAAGGTCTTTCCATTCGATTTGATCCAAACTTTTTCTTTGAAATTTTTCAAAGCCTTTTGTCAAATTATCCCTTTTAGGGAATTTTGATACTTAATGCATTCTCAAAGAAAGCTTGTTTCTAAACTTTTGATTTGAAACATTTCTAAGGTATTTTTTTTTCAAAACAATATGTTTTGTTTTGCTCAGTCTTAGTGTCATTCCGCTTGGGGAAGAAAAAGTTCGATTTTCTCTTAGAAAGGCAACTTTTTTAACACATGCACTCACGATTTAGGGATACCTGTCTAATCAACTTACCAAGATCCCTCTTGTTTGCATGTTTTTGCTTTGGTTCCACTGGGGATTCTTCTATTGTTGCTCCCTTTTCTTTGTCTCCCTGGGGATAATAAAAAAAAAGAAGAAAAGCACATTAGGTAATATCAACGGAAAAATTGAATTGGAAGTGATACTTCCCTCTATTATTTGACAACTTCGTTGGGAATTCTGAAACCATCGACTTGTTCAAACTCCTTTTGCTTTCTTCTGCAAAACAGATAAACATGTTCATGAAATGCGTGGTATGCATGATATGCATGATATGCACATGTTCTAAAGTGACCCAAATCTCTTCTTGAATATTCGTCTTCATTTTATGGGGAGAAAATCTTGACAGCATCTGCATTTACAGGATAGGCCAATTCTGTTCCAGTCATATCTACAAAAATCAATGCGCCTCCAGGAAGGACTTTCTTGACAATGTATGGACCTTCATAATTCGGAGTGAATTTACCACGAGAATCTGAATTATTGAGGATGACTTTCTTCACTACTAAATTCTCTGTTTTGAAATGCCTTGGTTTCACTTTTTGGTTAGAGGATTTGGCCACTCTTCTCTGATAGGCTTGTCCATGGC